TGGTTTTTTCCTCCACTTTTTTCCCACTTTTTCCTGATTTTCCCCTCTTTTTCCTGCTTTTTCCCTTTTTTCCCTGCTTTTTCTCGCCTTTTTCCTGCTTTCTCCCCCACTTTTTCCTGATTTTCTCGCTGCTTTTTTCCCACTTTTTTCCTGTTTTTCCCCCATTTTTCCAGCTTTTTCCTGATTTTCCCACTTTTTCCTGATTTTTCCCTTTTTCTCCCCCTTTTTCCAGATTTTTCCTGATTTTTCCCTGCTTTCTCCTGCTTTTTTTGCCACTTTCTTCACGATTTTTTCCTGTTTTTTTCCTCCACTTTTTTCCGGCTTTTTCTCAATTTTTTCCCACTTTTCCCTGATTTTTCCCGCTTTCTCCCCACTTTTTCCTGCTTTTTTCCTGCTTTTTTCCTGTTTTTCCCCCACTTTTTCCCCTCTTTTTCCTGCTTTTTCCCTTTTTTCCTTGCTTTTCCCTGATTTTTCCTGTTTTTTCCTGCTTATTTTGCTGCTTTTTTCCTGTTTTTCCCCACTTTTTCCTGCTTTTTCCTGCTTTTCCCCCACTTTTTCCTGATTTTTCCTGCTTTTTCCTGCTTTTTCCTGATTTTTCCTGCTTTCTCCCCACTTTTTCCTGCTTTTTTTGCTGCTTTTTTTCCCCGCTTTTTCCTGAATTTTTCCTCCACTTTTTTCCTGTTTTTTCCCACTTTTTCTGATTTTTCCTGCTTTTTCCCTTTTTTCCCACTTTTTCCTTATTTTTCCTGCTCTTTCCCCACTTTTTCCTGCTTTTTTTCTCCACTTTTTCCTGCTTTTTTCCTGTTTTTCCCCCACTTTTTTCCTGTTTTTTCCCCACTATTTTTCCTACATTTTCCCCCCACTTTTTCTCCACTTTTTTCCCATTTTCCTCCTTCTTTTCCTCGCTTTTCCCCGGTTTTTTTCCCCACTTTTTCCCAGCTTTTTTCCCCGCTTTTTCCTGCTTTTTTCCCCACTTCCTCTCACTTTTTTCCCCACTTTTTTCCCCACTTTCCCCCCAACTTTTTCCAGCTTTTTCCCTACTTTTTTTCCTGTGCTCTCACGCTTTTTTCCCTGCTTTTTCCCCACTTTTTTCCTGTGTTTTCCTGCTTTTCCCTACTTTCCCCCGCATTTTCCCACTTTTTCCTGCTTTTCCCCCCGTTTTTCCTGTTTTTCCCGCTTTTCCCCCATGTTTCCCCGCTTTTTTCTCTGCTTTTTCTTGCTTTTCTTCCTGCTTTTTTCCCATTTCCCCCCACTTTTTCCCCTGCCTTTTCCCATCTTTTTTTCCCCCGCTTTATTCCTGCTTTTTTCCTACATTTTTTGCAGTTTTTTCCTGCTTTTTCCCCAGCTTTTTTTCCCGCGTTTTCCCCCACTTTTCCCTCACTTTTTCCCTTTTTTTCCCTTTTTCCTCTTTTTTTCCCCTTTTTCCCATTTTTTTTCCTTTTTTACCCTTTTTTTCCCCTTTTTTCCCTTTTTTTCCCTTTTTTCCCCCTTTTTTCCCTTTTTTTCCCTTTTTTCCCTTATTTTTCCCCTTTTTTTCCCCTTTTTTCCCTTTTTTTCCCTATTTTCCCCTTTTTTCCCTTTTTTTCCCTTTTTTTTCCCTTTTTTTCCTTTTTTCCCCCTTTTTCCCTTTTTTTTCCCTTTTTTTTCCCTTTTTTCCCCTTTTTTCCCCTTTTTTCCCTTTTTTCCCTTTTTCCCCTTTTTTCCCTTTTTTCCCCTTTTTTTTCCTTTTTTTTCCCTTTTTTTCCCCTTTTTTCCCCTTTTTTTCCCTTTTTTTCCCTTTTCCCCCCTTTTTTTCCCCTTTTTTTCCCTTTTTTTTCCCTTTTTTCCCCTTTTTTTCCCTTTTTCCCTTTTTCCCCGTTTTTTTTCCCTTTTTTCCCTTTTTTTCCCTTTTTTTTCCCTTTTTCCCCCTTTTTTCCCCTTTTTTTCCCTTTTTTTCCCTTTTTTCCCCCTTTTTTTCCCTTTTTTCCCCTTTTTTACCTTTTTTCCCTTTTTTCCCCTTTTTTTTCCCTTTTTTTCCCTTTTTTTTCCCTTTTTTCCCTTTTTTCCCTTTTTTTCCCTTTTTTTCCCTTTTTTTCCCTTTTTTCCCTTTTTTTTCCCTTTTTTCCCCTTTTATTCCCTTTCTTTCCCTTTTTCCCTTTTTTCCCTTTTTTCCCCTTTTTTTTCCCTTTTTTCCCCCTTTTTTTTCCCTTTTTTTCCCCTTTTTTTCCCTTTTTTTCCTTTTTTTTTCCCTTTTTTCCCTTTTTTTCCCTTTTTTTCCCTTTTTTCCCCTTTTTTCCCTTTTTTCCCCTTTTCTTTTCCCTTTTTCCCCCTTTTTTTCCCCTTTTTTCCCTTTTCCCCCATTTTTTTCTCTTTTTTTCCCTTTTTTTCCCCTTTTTTCCCTTTTTTTCCTTTTTCCCCTTTTTTTCCCTTTTTTCCCCTTTTTTCCCCTTTTTTCTCCCTTTTTTTCCCTTTTTTCCCTTTTTTTCCCTTTTTTTCCCTTTTTTTCCCTTTTTTTCCCCTTTTTTTTCCCTTTTTTCCCCTTTTTCCCCTTTTTTCCATTTTTTCCCTTTTTTTCCCTTTTTTTTCCCTTTTTTTCCCTTTTTTTCCCTTTTTTTTCCCTTTTTTTCCTTTTTTCCCTTTTTTTCCCTTTTTTCCCTTTTTTCCCCTTTTTCTCCCTTTTTTCCCTGCTTCTTTCCCGCGTTATCCCAGCATTATCCCTCCGGATTCTGGCTCCGTCCCCATCCCGACTCCTCTCCGGGAAGGAATTTTGGGAATTCCCTGGGAATTGGTGACTCCAGGAAGGGTCTCCCTATCCCAGAATTCCATAAAAATCCCTCGGGATGGATCCGGAGCCTCCTGGATCCCGGAATGGCTTCAATAATTCCCAAATAATTCCAGAATAATTCCCAAATAATTCCCCAATAATTCCCCAATAATTCCCCAATAATTCCCCAATAATTCCCCAATAATTCCCGGTTCATTCCGGATCCAATCCCAGGCTGGGAATGGAGGGAATTCCCTGGGAAAATGGTGAGGGATTTGGGATTTGGGAAGGAATTCCTGGGGAATCCCAGGATAATAAATTCCCAGCAGGATAATTCCCAGTGGGATAATTCCCGGTGGGATAATTCCCAGTGGGATAATTCCCGGTGGGATAATTAATTCCTGGTGTGATTCCCAATTCCCATTGGAATAATTCCCGGTGGGATAATTCCTATCGGGATAATAATTCCTATCGGGATAATTCTGGGTGGGATGATTGATTCCCGATGGGATAATTAATTCCCATTGGGGTAATTCCTGGTGGGATAATTAATTCCCGGTGGGATAATAATTCCCGGTGGGATAATTAATTCCTGGTGGGATAATTAATTCCCGGTGGGTTAATTCCCGGTGGGATAATTCCTATCGGGATAATTCCAGGCAGGATGATTGATTCCCGGTGGGATAATTAATTCCCGGTGGGATAATTAATTCCCGGTGGGATAATTCCTGGAGGGGTAATTCCTATCGGGATAATTCTGGGCGGGATAATTCCCAGTGGGATAATAATTCCCATTGGGATAATTTCCACTGGGGTAATTCCAATTGGGATAATTAATTCCCGTCGGGATAATTAATCACGATAATTCCCAGGAGCTGTACAGCCACTCGTACGAGGAGATCGGGGTGATGTTCACCCCCGGAATTCCCGTCGGGATAATTCCCGTCGGGATAACCACGATTCCCGGTTCCCAGGAGCTGTACAGCCAGTCGTACGAGGAGATCGGGGTGATGTTCATGTCGGGATAATTCCCGTCGGGATAATTCCCGTCGGGATAACCACGATTCCCGGTTCCCAGGAGCTGTACAGCCA